GAATATGGGAGCTCATTGCACAGGAAGTCAATGAGGTTTAGTAAGAACATAGCAAGATTAAGGGGGAAAAAAGTTGGACATTCATATGGATAACAAGAATATTCTGAGTTAGAAAACTTATTGCTAACAAAAATCTTGGAAGGGATATTAAACATGCTTTCAGATTTAAGCCAGCTACTATTTGCAATTTCTAGCTATTAGAGATCAGGATGAGACCTAATGTAAGGGGCAGATAACCCCACATCTGCTGGTCTATACTATTATGTTGAGCACTTTTACAAGATTAGGATATATTTTTGTACAAAGTATGCCTTGTGATGAGGTATCATTTGAAAATTCATAATCTGCTGAACATTATTGTCCTGGTAAAATATGTGTATCAACATTGTATGTAAAGTTATAAGATTCTGCTGTGTAGCATTGTTATAACATGCTCCAATGTTAAGAAAAGCAGGCCCAAACCAGTTTTTCAGAGACAAAGACACACTGACACCCCAGCCAGGTGTTAAAGAGCTATCACTTGCTTAAGCTGCCATTCTCCAGTAACGGGAAGGTGTGAATAAGAAATTTACATTTAACCACAGGGACAGTTCAACCCTCACATCCACAAGAGACTACTTGTTGCTTGCACCCCAGTGAGGGGAGGGGTAATCCTGAAGGTGGGGGGAAGGGTATAAGAATGGAGGACACACACAACACAAATGACCTCTCTCCTCCTTCATCTCTGCTCATGACATCAACGACTCTCAAAGAACTGAACTAAGGGGGAGGGGTCCCAGGCTGAAAGGAGACCCAGCCTGTGAAATTTATTGCAGCATATGGTGAGATAAAACCTTTGCTTTTAAGTTCACATAGCTTGTTCAGTTAAGTATTAGCTCCATTTTACTCTTTTATTTTCTTTTGTAACCAGTCCTGACTTGTATGCATCATCACTTGCAATCACTTAAAATCTATCTTTCTGTAGTTAATTAACTTATCTTATTGTTTTATCTTAACCAGCGTGTTTGGACTAGTGTGGGAAACTCCATTTGGAATAACAAGGGTGGTGCATGTAGCATTGTCCTTTGATGAAATGAGGGACTTTCTATGAGCTTGCCCTGCCCAGCACACTACTGAACAAGACGCACATTTCTGGGGGGACAAGCCTGGGATCAAGAATTTGCAGGTGTCTCCCCGTGTATAATTCATGAATGACTGATCAGAGTGCTCACATGTTTAGCTGGGAGCGAATTTGCATGCTGAAGGCTGTGTGAGCAGGTATAGGCTGCGTCTGCACTACTGGACTGGGCTGGCATAGTCTGCGTAGTATAGACCTACCCTTAGCAAGGTTGTGTGGTTCGGCCATATTAATTCATAATGCGGTGTGGTCTGTGTAGACAAGAGTGAGTTAGTTTTTGCTGGCAAGTGGAAGAGTGGCAAGGGAGAGTAGGACAGAGTCAATTTTTCTTTTTAATGGTTGGATGCAAAATATCATGAGCTTCTGTCAAAAAAAATCCTGAAGCCATCCCTGGACCTAATGTGGTGATAGGGGGCGCTGTGCTGCAGAGATGGGGGTGGGTGAGTTACTAGAGGGTACTTTCCTGTCTGAGTCAGTACTGACCCCAATGTACCAGTGTGGTGCTAGGGGAGATAAGATATTTTACACCCACAGACACCAAGATCCAATGAATTTCAGAACCTAGGAGAGAGTTTTCCTCACATGTGATCTCCCTGCCATGCCCCAGGGCTGTGGTGGCATCAGCAGCTTGAAGCTTCTGCTGCCTTCACGGGGCCCCAGAGCTTTTCCTACCCCTCTGGCTACTTGGCTCATGCTAGCTCCTTTACCAATACCATATCCTGGAGCAATCTGGGTTGCTCTTGGAGTTCTTCAGTCCAAGCACTAAACCATGCTTAGACCTGTTTTGTTTATGAAACGTGACAATATCTTGCCCCATGGTGTGGCAGTTCTGGTCTGTTTTCCACAATACAGATGTTGAAGGAAATGTACGAGAAATTGCAATCTGTGAAGTGCACAGTGCTGTCTTTTTTTGTTTGTTAGAGGAACATTTCTGCCATTAACCCAATGTGTCACATGGACAAGCCGTGTGAATAGTCCATTTGTTCTTATTCAGTGCTTTTGGGTTTCTTTCTACAAGGAACTGGATTGTGGTTTTGTTCTTGTGACAATGACCCCCTGTAACACCATTCCAAATAATGTCATACTGTAATGAAATTATACATCGTAAGGAGCATGACCCAGTTGTTGATCACATTCTTGTAAAATATACTGTTCAGACTAGTCTCTCGGGCATATTTCACTCTGCCTCTGCTCTCATACATGTAAAATAAATGCAGTGTTTATCCTTGCAGCTTAGACATTGCTGAAACATCAAGTAGTTACTGCAGTTCTGCTCCAAGATGCCAAAGTTGTTTTGTTTCAGTGAATGTATGGCCTGATATTCAGAGGTTTTGAGCAGCCAGAGCTTCCACTGAAGTAAATGAGAGCTGTGCTGCTCAGCAGCTCTGAAGATCAGGCCATTAATATGAGGAGACAAATATAGTAATAGGCATGCGGCTACTGCAATTGCTGCATTGCTTAGGCCAGTGGTCTCCAAACTTTTTTGATCGCGCACCCCATCAGTAAAAATTTTTGAGCACGCACCTCCTGCCGTGCTGAAGCAACAACAACAAAAAAAAAAGGGCTCCTGCTGCCGCGCACCCCCAAGGATCCTCTTCCGCACCCCCACTGGCTTAGGTAACCTGGCAAAACACAAAGACACATTACTGTCCATTCTACTGCCACCTGCATTGTTCCACTAACGTTATTCATAGGTTCATTCATCTATTCCAAGGCCAGAAGGGACCATTGTGATCATCTAGTCTCACCTCTTGTATAACACAGGCCAGAGAACTGCACCAAAATAATCACTAGAGCAGATCTTTTAGAAAAAATCATTCAGTCTTTTAAAAATTGTCAGTGATGGAGAATCCACCACAACCCTGGGTAAATTGTTCCACTGTTACTCACTGTCCACTCCATTGTTACTCTCACCATTAAAAATGTATTCCTTATTTCCACTCTGAATGTGTCTAGCTTCAACTTCCAGCCATTGAATCACGTTAGAACTTTCTCTGGTAGATTGAAGAGCCCATTATTAAATATTTGTTCCCCAGGTAGCTCCATATAGACGGCAATCAAGTCCTCCCTTAATCTTCTCTTTGTTAAGATAAACAGATTGAGCTCTTTGAGTCTGTCACTATAGGCATGTTCTCTAATCCTTTAATCATTCTCATGGCTCTTCTCTGAAGCGTCTCTACGTTATCAGTGTGCTACCCTATACAGACAGAGGAGTTTCAACTTTTGTTTTTGTCCCAATTAAGTCTCTGCTTCCCTCAGGTGATTTTGAAAACTCCTCACATTCTGTTGTCTCTTAATGCAGTTTGGATGCTTAGGACCATATACTTAATCTGCATATGCAGCTCCCATTGACTTTATCACCAGGGCCGGCTCCAGGCACCAGCTAAGGAAGCAGGTGCTTGGGGCGGCCAATGGAAAGGGGCAGCATGTCCGGGTCTTTGGCGGCAATTCTGCGGCGAGTCCCTCTCGGAGCGAAGGACCCGCCGCCGAATTGCCGCCAAAGAATGAAGCGGCCGCTGAAGTCCTGCCTATCGCGGCTTTATCTTTTTTTCGCTTCGCCATTTGGAGCCGGCCCTGTTTATCACCAGTACAGATGCCCACCTGGATTAAAGACAGTATACAATAATGCTTTCTCTGATGAAAGCATGTCCAGTGAACTTCATTGAAGGGCTGCTGTGCACTCTCTAGAGAGATGGAGGCAGCCTGAAATGTTGAAGACCAAGGCAGCTTGTTCTGGGAGTGTCTCTCCTAAGTCACATGGCCAGGTGTTCTGCCTCTGCAGAAAATGGAAGGTGTTTGTGAGAATAGCAGATGCTAGTGGGGACTAAATTTAGCTGCTCGGCAAACAATTGTTTTTTAAAAAAAATCATTATCTTACCAAGATGGTGAATTGGATTGAGAAATGAGTGGGCAGCTTGGAAAAGTGAACTAGCATAAACCAAAATTCACATAAAAACATATGAGCTTGATTAAAATTCTAGTAGCTTGATGTGCAGGAGGTCAGACTAAGATGATCATGATGGCCCCTTCTGGCCTTAAAATCTGTAAGTCTAAATATGTTACCCTATCCTTAAAGATAATCTGTGTCCGTATGAACCCTGTGATCACAAGACCAATCCATTTCTTGCCTCCACATATCTCTGAATAGCCTCCTCTTCATTAGTTTGTGGCTGTCTCCTCAGCTTCTCTTCTGAGTGCTGTATTGGTTATGTGCAAGTGTTGATTTTGGCTAGGAGCTGAGAAAGCTGGGAGATTGCACTGTTTACATCAAATATAAAGGAGATACAGATCTGGGCATGGACTGAGAACTGCTAGCACTTCAGCCTGTGCTATCTCACCAGCTCCCCAGTGGCCTCATATAGGGTATGTCTACACTGCAAGCAAAGATGTGATTGTGGCACAGGTAGGCATACCTCTCCTGGTGTTAATCCAGATAGCACAGGTAACAATAGGAGTGAAGACAGGGTGGCATGGGCTTCAGCACAGGCTGGCTGCCCGAGTACAAGCCAGCCGGGGACCCTGGGTACCTACTCGGTGGGGTTGCTAGCCTCCGCTGAAGTCCATGCCACCACCTTTATGACTGTTATTACCTGGGCTAGCTAGATATAAAGTTAGTTTGGGTATCCCTACCCATGATACAATCACGTCTTCCCATGTGGCATAGCCATCCCCAGAGAAGTTGGAAAGTATGGTGGAGAAGATTGAACTTTGTGGGACTATACAGATAAGAGCTTTGAAGGTGGATGAGCAGTTGCCCATCATGACCCGCTCGGTTCAGGTTCATACGTTTGTTCTGTGTAGACCTAAATCTTTCATTATGAGTAAATGAATGTAAAGCAGCTTGCAGGTGAAAATGACAAGAAACTCTCTCTCTATGCTGCAGGGAACTTCTGGACATGACCTGCCGTCTTGCCAACACACTGAAGAAATATGGAGTACAAAAAGGGGACAGAGTTGCAATCTATATGCCTGTGACTCCACTGGCTGTGGCTGCCATGTTGGCTTGTGCCAGAATTGGTGCTATTCATACAGTGGTCTTTGCTGGATTCAGTGCAGAATCTTTAGCTGGGAGGATCATTGATTGTAAGTAGTTTTAAAATGATGAACAAGCATATTAGGAAAGTGCTCTGCTCCTTGGAGGATTGATCCTTTGATCCAGATTCAACATTCAGCTTTCAAAGAAAGGCACACCCAGAATATGGTTGGCTTATTCTCATCTTACTGGGAAGTTCAGTTCTCTCCTTAGCAGAAGCATCAGAGTACTATCACTGCATTGACTCTCTGTGTTCCTGATTGGCATGAACGCCTGTGGGTTTAATAAGCTTTAAAATCACTGTAACATTCAATCAGTTTTAAATTGCTGTCAAATAATGTTTAAACCGTAGGGAAAACTGAGACTTCTTGGGGGGAAGGGGAGGCTGGTTATATTCCAAGGGGTTTTGGATCTGTATTCACCAGGGAATTGGTGAAAAGTTTCTCAAAGCTTCCCAGGGAAGGGAATGGTGGCAGCGGACCAGAACTAAGCTGGTATTTAAGCTTAGAAGTCCTCATGCAGGCCCCCACACTTGTACCCTAAAGTTCAAGGTGGGGATACAGCCTTGACATGGTTTCCTAGTGCATTCTTGTGAAGTGCTAACTCTGCAGCGTATAATTATTTATTTGTATTTTTGAAGTGCCTAACGGCCCCAATTAAAGAGCGGGGCCCCATTGTGCTAATCACGGTATAAACATATAGAGACAGTTGCTACCCCAAAGAGCTTATAATATAATTCGATAAACCAGTGATAGACAACACAGAAACAAAGTATCGAAAGGCAGAGGTTTAATACATAACATTAGGTGCTATGATTATTACAAATACATCTTTTAAAAAGTCATCTTTCTGTATGGCTAGCACGAGGAATTAAGTCTCAGAGTATTTTGAATGGAAGGTAATCTAGGTGGGGCAAGTAAAGGTTTTGGCTTCTCTCTTATCTCTGGTAACTAGTGTAGGGGTTATGGGTAAACATTCTTTTATTATACAGCTATATATCTGCTCCATAAATAACAGCATGAAATGTGTGTTGCAATTTGAAGTGCTATTTTGAATTGGTACAGTTGTGATATGGCTCCCAGGAAAATCCGGAAATCCTGAAAACCCCACATGAGCTAACTGGGTGCTAGAAATCCACTGGCATCTCTAAAAACAACAACAACAGACAAAACAAAGGACACTGAATTTGCTTGGGATTGGGGTTTAATGGAAGATTTGAAGGGGCTGTAATATCTACTCCATAGAAAAGGTATGAGAGCTGTGTGGAAGAAGATGGTGTTTACTCACTAAGAGACCTGATCCAGTTCCTGTTCAAATCAGTGAAAAGATTCATTGATTTTAGTAGGCTTCGGATCAGGCCCTAATTCTCCTCCTCTACCTTAGAGATTGCAAAGGCCATCCTGCCTTCAGTGTATCAGGATTACAAGGAGCGTTTGTCAGTGATGTCGGCTGTTACCGTCTGATAGAATTTCTCCATTGTAATATGCTACTTAACATCCCTATGTGTGACACAGGGTGACAGTAGTGAAAAACAAACTGATAGGTCTGCAAAATCTCTCTCTTGTTAGCTGGCTGCAAAGCTGTCATTACCTACAACCAGGGAGTCAGGGGAGGACGAGTTGTAGAGCTGAAGAAGACTGTGGATGAAGCTGTAAAGAATTGTCCAACTGTCAAGCATGTCTTCGTGGCTCAGAGAACAGACAGCACAGTCCACATGGGTAATCGTGACATTCCTCTTGAAGAAGTACGTTGACTTTGTTAAATGTAGCCCTTTTATCTAGCTATTTCCTACAGGGTGTGATGGTTTATATCTCAGCAGGTCCCCATGCCAATTAACAAACACATTTTCAGGGAAAGTCAGAGGCAGGGCTAGAACCTGTATTATTAAAATGACTATGTAAGGGCCCTGCTGGCAGAGCTAAGGAGAAAGTCCAATCAGCTCAATCTAGAATGGACACACTTGTAAATAACTCAGACTATTCTATATTGGCCTTTGTTGCTCTGTAGTCTCTGTGCATTATCCTGACAAGGAATATCTATATGGTCTGTGTATTCTCATTTTATAAATGTGGCAGATTAAAAGAATTTGAAGCAATTATGTTTTTTCTTTTCTCTCCTTTTAGTATTTTAAACCTCAATGTTTTTTTCTTCGATCTGGTTGCTACAAATGCAGACTGCTGGCTTCAGTCTGTCCTCTCTGACACATGTAACAAAGGGTATGTCTACACAGGGATAAAAAACCCATGGTTGGCCTGGATCAGCTGACTCAGGCTCCTGGGGCTTGGGCTCTGGGGCTGAAAAATTGCTGTGTAGACATTCGGACTACGGCTTGAGGGTCCCAGAGTTCAGGCTCCAGTCCGAACCTGAATGTCTACACAGCAATTATTAGCCCTGCAGCCTGAGCCCTGTGAGCCCAAGTCAGCTGACCCAAGCCTGCCGCAGCTACGCCATTGGGCTTTTATCCGCTGTAGACGTGTAACCTCAATCCTCAATCACCAGTTTTGCTTACTCCAAGGTAGGGATGTAAATACCATAAAAAGTTAACTGTTTAAACGATTAAGAAATATTTTGTTTAAACGGTTAACCAATTAAAGGGCCAGCTGGTGTGGCTGGGGCCGATCTGGCCAGCGCGGCTGGGGCTGGAGCCACTCTGGCCGGGGCCGGTGAGTCTGGGGCTGCTCCGGGCCGGGCCGCTGGGGCCGGCCAGTTGGCTGGCCCGGGGGTTAACGGTTAAGGCGGGTTAACCGGTAAGACTAATGCTTACCGGCTAACCGGTTAATATTTTACATCCCTACTCCAAGGCTCCCTCTACCGTCCTAGACTTAACCTCCTCCCCCAGATCAGAGTAGTGGTTACGGCACCCTTCTCCTAATCTGGGCCCTAAGCAGGGCCGGCTCTAGGTTTTCTGCCGCCCCAAGCAAAACAAATTTTGGCCGCCCCCCCCCCTTCTTTTGGCTTTTACACATGTTTGCATATTGGGGCAATAATCGCAGGATATAATCACACATCAGCATGTTTAGTTGACTCTGCTGCTGCAAATTTCAGAGCAGGAAGTCCAAGGAAAATGTTTAGCTCCTCTTTGAGCTGAAATAAAACAGTGCAATTAGTCAAACTGATCTTGGGAGATGCATGCAGGCTGATACGAACATCTAGGTAAATCAAAACTGTTAAAACTCAATGATCTTTCACTTGTTAAAGAACGTGTGTCGCTTACTCTGAAGAAAAAAAATAGGAAAATGGCTCATAGAAAATTAAATTGTGCCAGGAAAAAAAATCAAACTCCCCCAAGGAACAGGAAGTGAGATACTTTATTACTATACATTGATCTGTCAATGCCACTCACGGAAAGTCTGAGCAATCAAGCTGCAGCAAACACATGATGGTTACAGATATCTAACCAATGTTGAAATTAGTGGAGTTGAAAAGTTCAGCAGCGAGTGGCTGCAGGGACGGCTGCCCCACACCTCTTTCTGCTGTCAGCATGTGAGAGGAGGCCAAGCTGGGAAACAAGGCTGAAATTGACCATGTGCCAAGAAGGAGAGTTGAGCAAGGAAAACCACAAAGGGAGAAAAAGTAAAAAGGGGGGGGGGGAGAGAAGGGGAAGGGGTGGCTGACTGTGCTGCTGAGCTGGGAGTGTGTGTGTGTGTGTGGGGGGGACATTAGCCAGGTCCAGCCTCTGCTAGAGTCCTCTCCTGTGTCCTTTGTCCGGGTGATGGGAATATCAGGGAGGCAAAGGCCTGTCCAGAAAGGCTCTGTGGAGGAGCGGAGCAGCAGCTAGGCCCACCGGGGAAAGCTCTGGGGGACGCGGAGAGAAGCAAGGGCAGCCAGCAGCAGCCCGGCTCCATGGAAGGGAGCGCATCAGCTGGGGAAGAGGCGAGCGGGGTGGGGAAAGCGCCGCGCTCCCTTTGCAAGTTCCCAGCGGTTTCAGCTCCTCCTTGTGCTTCACTTCGCCCAGGGCGGGGGACAAAGCCCCGCAGCAGGATCCCGGAGCAGCCTCCTCCTGCAGCCGGGTGGGGAAGAGCCAGCGGGAGATTAACAACGCGCATCCGAGTCCGAGGCGGGAGGAGGCGACATCGCCCGGCCGCCGCCTGGCACTTACTGTCCACAGGCTGGAGCGCAGCCCTGTAGTCTGCAGCAGCTGGTCTCGGAGGAGCCGGACCTGGTGATTGAAGTGTCCGGCCGGCAGATCCAAGCCCACAAGTCGCTGCTGGCGGCCAAGTCCCCGGACATTCTGCGGGTGAAGGGGGTGAGCTACGGGGCGCTGCGCCTGCTCATCGACAGGGCCGGCATGGGCGAGGTGCGCCACGACAACATGGCCAAGGTGGTGAGCGGCGCCCGCGTGCTGCAGATGCCCTGCGCCCTGCACTGTGCGGCTGAGGCCATGCGGGCCCAGCTGTGCCTCCACAACTGCTACCAGCTGCTGTGCCGCCCCTGGGAATGTGCTGCCCCAAGCAGGTGCTTGTTTTGCTGGTGCCTAGAGCTGGTCCTGGCCCGGTGTTACTTACAGTGTCTGGAGCTTCTGCTGCCTGTGGAAAGCCTTGCATTTACACACAACAGGTGTCCTAGATGTTTAAAGGGCACTGACTGTACTGGTTAATTGCAATGACCAGAACAATGTCTTTCGTTGAGGGAACCAGAGCAGACTACAACAGATTCTCCCCAGTGTGGGCAGGAACCTTAAATGTTGCAGCTGCATCAATTGAGAAGATGGCCCTTTGAATTCCATTCCACAGTGGACTGCAATGCCTGGTGCTTGGAAATTACCCCAAATCCTCTCTCCCTGCAACAGTGCTAAGCATCAAGGAGTAAGTGCTTCAGGAATTCCAGAATATATCGTTACTACTACAGTCGTAGCCATGCTGTGTTTGGACATGCCAGGATGGTTCTGTCAGGCTCTGTAGAACGTCATTTATCTCCCAAAACTGGACGTACTGTATGGAACTGAAGGAATAAACAAGACACAGGAGAGGCCTTAATATGTGGAAAGGACAGTGTAATTGTCCCATCTCTACTGAGAATGATTGTTTGGGAATACTTACAGTCTACATGGCCTGGGGGAGAAAGGAGTGACCATTAAAATGTGGTTTAGATGTTACACCGGGAACATGCAGCTTGATGCAGAGTAGCTGTGTCAGTTTGCCAGAAGCAATAAACAAAGAACTTTGGCACTTTTGCCATGGGAAATCCCTACTTTGCAGCTAAAAAACTACTCAGGAGTGAAAATACATGTACTGGGCCAAGTATGTTCCAGTTAAATAGGCGGTACAGCTAATAATAAACACTAGCAAGAACATGCCTGCCTTGTTGGTCAGAAACTATCTTAGTCCATGAACCTGTATAAACTGGGGCAGTGATGTCTCCCGGAGTCTGCAGATAACCTGAAACTGTTGGTCTGAGAGATGTAAACCGACCAGGCATCAGTTAATCCTGAAGCTTAATATCAACATAATTATCAGTGGTATTAAGTCTTTCCTTGTTGATCATGTTAGTAGAAACATTCAGGTACTGTGTTTATCCCACAATCCCAAACTGCCTTCCATGCAATCCAAGGTACCGAAAGCCCTAACTATTCCTTTCTCTAGTAGTTGACAAAAACTTCCAGCTTCTCTTTTTTGTGGTGTAGTTGTGTGTTTTTAATACAGAAATCTGAGACACATTGAAAATAGGGGGACAGTGTGAAAGAAATTGAACTCCGTGTTAAAATAAATGACACAGGGATACCGTACGGATCAGCAGGACTTGAACCCAGGCCTGCAGGCAACCAACATCCCCACACTGTCATTTGGTGGCAATTGTAACCTGGCTGCCCCCTGCGACCCACAGTCCATAGAGGTTGCTATGACTGCCCTGCTTCTGAACTCCTGGGATTGATGTTGGCTCTGACTTGGATTCTGACTCCTAGTCGACCCCTGGAACCTCAACACTGACCCTGATGCCTGGGATTGACCCTCAGCCTGTCTCTGACTCTGACTCTCGGCTTGACTCCTGACTCTGACTCCGGCTCTGACTCTTGGCTTCGGTTCCTGGCTCTCAAGGTCCTACCTACCTTTGCCCAATATCCTGACACAGACTAAATTATTCATTTTCATATTTAATTCACTAATATTACTCCAAATTTGAACTGAACCTACGCTGCTGCATTGGAGTGTCACAGGTACCAGTGGGTTGTGCTGTAAAATTTAAGTCCATCTTGCTGTGGAGCACATGGGAACTTTGTCTTGCCTGGTTTGGGTATATGACCATCGGAATATGCATTGACTAAAGGTCACAATAAATACATGACGTGATGAGATCTATCATTTGCCTGATGTGTAAAATTTATTTCTGACCCTATTGGGCGCTTGTTTTGGTAAGATTGATTTGTCAAATGCTTAGAAGTGACTGGAACTAGATGCAGGCTCTGAGGCATATTGGCTTGTAAATACAGGTCTCCTTACAGTGTTTAAAGGGCACTTGCAGTTAGTCACACGGATCTCGGCAGACAGACGCCTAAAGAATCTTGAGGGAAGTGCTCGCTCCCCGAGAACAGGACAGAGTCTGCGGGAAGCAGGCTACCTGTCAGTTTTCCAGCCACATGTGGAGTATCTGGAATATGCTCTGTGCCACAGATTTGATGCACCTGAGGAAGAGCTTGCAGTTGTAGTCTTGGCAGCCAGGCTCAAAAATGTTTTCTGAAGAATGATCATCTTCAAGTCTACTACATTTCTACGACCCTTTTGGGGAGATCTTTCAGCTATGTTAAGATCTTCACATGAGTTGTTGCAGAGTGACAAGCCATGGAAATAGTTAGAGAAGTGTGATGGTACGTCAAAAAATGAAAACAAAAGCAAGAACAATCAATGCCTTGGGGTATTATGACGCACACCACTCCACAGAGTCTGTGATGTATCACCATAAAGAGTAGGAGTTGTGATATTGCACATGGCTGAAAATGGCAAGAAAAGATGGGTTTGTCTTTATTAATTATTAATGTATTATATTTTAAATATTTTTTTAGATAAAAGCAGACCCCCAAGGAACATGGCACTGGACCCGGGGCACACTCGTAACCTGGGCCCCCGTCCCATCCCACATGGATAGATGCATAGAGATAAACATACTCACGGAGATTGTATAAATAACATTTAATCAAATTCAAATGTCCACAGTTTAGTCTGAATTTATTTCTCATGGTGATGAGCTTGTGGCCTTCTGGCTGGGTCCCTCACTGGGACCGTATCCTGGCAAAGTGTCCCCATTTCCCCCCCCCCCCCTTTATTTGTGGTCTATACAGTGCCCTAACTTTGCATGGCACTTTACAGAGATTTAAAAGGATTTGTCCCCACCCTGCCTGGTCTTTACCATCCCAATTAGACACAACCCTATGCTGCAGGCAGTGTGGAAACACACTGTTCTAGAGCAGTGGCACTCAACCTTTCCAGACTACTCTACCCCTTTCAGGAATGTGATTTGTCTTGCATACCCCCAAGTTTCACCTCACCTAAAAACTACTTGTTTACAAAATCAGACATAAAAATACAAAGGTGTCACAGCACACTATTACTGAAAATTTGCTTACTTTCTCATTTTTACCATATAATTATAAAATAAATCAATTGGAATATAAATATTGTCCTTACATTTCAGTGTATAGTATATAGAGCAGTATAAACATTTTACCGTGCAAATATTTGTAATCAAAAATAAATATAAAGTGAGCACTGTACACTTTGTATTCTGTAAAAACAACAAGGAGTCCTTGTGGCACCTTAGAGCCTAGCAAATGCCCAAATAAATTTGCTAGTCTCTAAGGTGCCACAAGGACTCCTTGTTGTTTTTGCTGCTACAGACTAACACGGCTACCACTCTGAAATCTTTGTATTCTGTGTTATAATTGAAATCAATATATTTGAAAATTTAGAAAACATCTACAAATATTTAAAGAAATGGTATTCTATTGTTTAACAGTGCGATTAATCGCAATTAATTTTTTCAATCACGCGATTAATCACGATTAATTTTTTTAATTGCTTGACACCCCTAATTATATTATATTAATGCTCTGAGGTTATGGAAGTTCCATTTTCACCTACCACAGAGCCAGCTGTTGCCAACTCAGTATCCAGGGAAGTGACTAGCCAGCCTCTGGATTCTGTTAACCCAGGGCCAGGTTCTGCCGCCCTTCGGCATGCTGAGTTGTACCGCACTCGGAACCTGATCAAAGCCTGTTGAAGTCAGTGGAAAATTCCCATTGTCTTCATTGTCCCATCAAGTTCCCTGTGAATAGTCTAATTACTGTCAATGAGACTACTTGTGTGAGTAAGGTACTCCTCAACGTAAACAAGGCTGGCAGGAAAGTAGTGCTGAATGAACCTGAAAATCTGATTGCTGCTCTGGGTGAACTCGAAGATGAAAGAGGGAAGGAGTCTGCTGAGGATGAAAGATTGTAGCCAGGACTAATTCATCAGCCTCCCACTGGAATGGACTTCTGATTTCAGAGGGTGGTGCATAAAGTGCTGATATGTGCACAGTGACCCCACTCCCCTCTGCCTTGCACCTTGGGCTGGTGCACCTGGGCCCAGGGGATGTAAGACTGTTAAAGCAGATGGGAGTGTTTTCACACCCACTTTGCACAGGCGTAAATGACACCACTGGGTGGAAGGCAATAGGGAGTCAGCCTCATGGGGCTGTATTTTGAATATAGGCCCAGGCCTGAGCAAGGAGTGGTGTGTAAACTGCATCATCCCAGGAGTAGCTCTAGGAGGCACTGTGACTCAGATACCCCTGCTGAGGCCTAATTCCACCCTTATTCTCTCCATATTCCAGAGGTGAGCTGGGGTATTGAGTTACTGCTGACCTATACTGGCAGCAAATTGCTACTGCCCACCATTGGACCAGCTACTCTCCCCCACTGGAGGGGTGAGGGTTGAAGCTGAGCTTCACCCTCTCTCCAGTCACTTGTGCTAGGGAGGGAATAAGCAGGCCAGGAACCCCACATACTCCTGCATGCCAGGCCCACGGTCAGGGTAACTTGAGTAGGGATATAAGGAGCGTATTCCCCTCACTCCCTTTTGTTGGCACCTGCACTGTGTCAGAATTGAGCCCATAGCATCCTGAATGCGCCCTGGTGGGAGTTCTGCCGATGGCTGTGCCTTGTGGGTTACATTGTCCAGTAGGGAGCAAAGGATTCTTACTAGGAAGTTAGCTGGGTCTGTGTTTGGAGAGGGAAAAATAAAACGTGGATTTTCTCTTAAAAAAAAAAGAAAAAAAGTCAAGTCTATGCCATGTATCATCAGCAGTGGCTCTCAGCTCCTTCCCTAGCCAGGAAGTGGAGCCAGGCATTGGGAAATCCTAAATGTGACTTAAAATTAAACTGAGAAGTGTAAATTAGAAAAAGAAGACTCCCTAATGGAACTTGTCCCCTAAAGACCTTTCTATTATTGCAAAGTGTGGCTCATTATGGGAATCACACTTCTATTTTCTGCAACTTTTATCCTCCCAAGGTCTTGAAACCTATGAGAGTCCCTGCTGTTTTTATAGATGGCTTTATTAATCCACTTCCTTCTAGCGCCTGAGACTCTCAGAAGTGTGGATCTAGAGAATGGGTGCTGCATACATGCCACATGAACGCTTATGTGGGGTGTGCTGCACACATTCTTTTGTTTCTGAGTCAGGGGAACAGAGGGTGCCTGTCATTTGAGCATCCATGCCAGGTCATTCTTCATCTGCTTCGTTGCCTTTCTTTTAGTAAATGCTCAGCTCTTGCCAGTCTCTCTGCAGAAAAAGATGGCATCAGCTGAAGAAATGACAGTTCTTCTGTACGTAGCTAGGACCCTGGTGAAACACTGAAGTGTTATGGAAGGATTTGCTGTGTGAGGCTAACGTGTTTCTTTTGCAACTTCTCTCGTCTTAGGAGATGGCCAAGGAGGCTCCTGTGTGTGCTCCTGAAAGCATGGACAGTGAAGACATGCTCTTCATGCTTTACACCTCCGGGAGCACAGGACAACCCAAAGGGATTGTTCACACTCAGGCTGGGTATCTGCTTTATGCTGCTGTGACACACAAGGTACTTCAGCAATGTTACTTGTAGAAAATGACCATTGGTGCTTTATCAGTATTAATGTGGGACATTTGTTTGTTTAACAAGGCTGCTTCCATCAGTGTTTGCAAATTATGTGGCATATTCTGTGTAATCGAGTTGAAAAGTACATGAGAGCATATTAATAATTAAATAGCATCAGTTTGATTTCAGGAAGTACACTACTAGGAGAATCAGATCCCGGGGGTTGTAAAGAATCCAAATGATGCAGTGATTCCACCTGAGCATTTTGAATTCATTGGTCATTTACTGGTTTAGTTTTGCACTCCAGTACTGCACTGATTGCTCTTACTGCAGAGAGGTGCTGGATTCCGAGCAAGGGACCTCCTTTTGTGACGCTTGTCTGTTGAAGAGCAAACAAATTGTATTAACACTCAGTATTTCTGCCTCTGCCACTGATTTGCGATGTGATGTTGGGCAAGCCCGTTAGCCTCACTGGACCTTCATTTCCCCATAAGCAAAATGGGGCTAACGCGACCATCCCAAAGCGGTGTTGTGAGGCTTAACTTCTTGCAGTTTCTGCTTTGAGATCCCCTCCTGAAGAGTGTAATAGAAATCCATATATTATACTGAAGTTTCTAGATGAGATTTCAATTCTAGTCCCAATTACTCACTTGTAATTTTCTGAGATAGTCGTCTTTGGGTTAATCTCAGCTCAGAGGTGAATTTTAGAACATTTGAGGATTATCCATTCAAGACGATGGGGTGAGCTGTTAAACCTTTCTCCAATGGGGTGGAGTCACACCAGCCAGCTTTTTTATTCTACAAACAGCAGCAAGGTGGGGCCCACGAATCTGTTTGCTTCTCAGTCCAAGAAGAAGGTTCCCAACTTTGGTCTAGGCATTCAGAGAGTCTTGCTTCCTGCACAGATGCTTTCCTCTTAAATGTGCTGCCTTTCAAGCACTAGAAAGCGTACAGTAGGAATAATCCAGCACTGGTAGGGACATTGACTGGCTGACTGACGAGATCTTTCCTGCCGCTCCATTCTATGACCCTTTGATTTTGATTTCAGAGTAGAGGGTTGGATTTTGGTGGAACTCTCAGGTTTTTTTATTTAAAAGGTAAATCGAGCTGTAACTTTCCCGCTCTGATAACATGCATCAGCTGGTGCAAGAAGGTCGATTTCCTAGGCAGAACATTTTTGATAGCTGAGGAAGTATAATCAGCCCCAGATGCTTTTATCTAAAATATAATGTGAAAGGCTGTATGTGTGTGACTGGAGTGAGGAGTTCCTAGGGCAAGCTGAACGTCAGTGAGTCTCCTACGGATCCCTCGTTTCCTTCATTAATACCCAGGGTATTAAACGGGAAGTAAACAGAACACTTTGTAACTGTAGCGTTGGTTAAATCCTGAGGAGCAACCTGCCATGAGCTCTGCCTCTCTGGGGAGCCCATTGGCATTGGTGGGACACTGCGCAGGCACAGGCGGCTTCCTACACAGTGTGGGGTCACGTCCTTCGTGTTTACTCTCCAGACTCCCACTGTCACCAACGGGAGTTCGTCCGATTTAAGGACTGAGAAGCACAGGATCTGGCCCACTCCTTGGGTATGAGAGGTATTGTAGCCTCCAGTCCTTAGGCCAGCCTTGCCTCTGTGCACTTATATCTCCTCTGTCTGTTTAGGCTTACTTCGTGTATCAGCTTTACATGGCTGAATAAAATAATTCATCCTGTGCAGCATAGATTGGTTCTTTCAGCATTACGAAAACAGCCTCACTGTTTATCTTTGCAGCATGTGTTTGACTACCAGCAAGGCGATGTTTTTGGTTGTGTGGCTGATATTGGCTGGATCACGGGACATAGCTATGTTGTATATGGACCACTCTGTAATGGAGGCACCTCTGTGCTGTTTGAAAGCACTCCGCTGTATCCTGACCCAGGTGAGGGAGTGATGGTCGCAGTTTTAATTGCACATGTATGCGGCTTAGGAGCCTATCAAGTGTGACCTGGCTACCTTAGGGGATGTATTCTCTTTCCTATTATCACCGGTCCCGTTTCTTTTGAGGATGTGATTATACAAACCAGGAATGTTTGTATAATGTACCCAGGGTAATAAAGGTGCCATCAGTATTATACTATAGATACAGCAAATAGTTGCTGTAGAGTTTTGTCTTACTGTTTACTTAAGTGTGCAGCATTTGTAACAGTAGCTTTGTTCCGTAACCAGACAGACTAAAGAAGAATATTTGGGATTTTGCAGGTCGTTATTGGGAAACTGTACAGAGGTTAAAAATTAATCAGTTTTACGGTGCACCTACTGCTGTACGTCTGCTGCTGAAGTATGGAGATAAGTGGGTGAAGAAGTATGACAGATCTTCCTTAAAAACCCTGGGATCAGGTGAGAGGAACTAAACGTTCTTATGAAGGGAATTGTAGGGACAGGTTCTCTACAGATGGAAATCTGTAAAAAGAACAGGAGTACTTGTGGCACCTTAGAGACTAACCTTAGTCTCTAAGGTGCCACAAGTACTCCTGTTCTTTTTGCGGATACAGACTAACACGGCTGCTACTCTGAAACATGGAAATCTGTCTTGCTCAGTTGAAGTCAGTTGTGCTATGCCAATTTACACCAGTGGAGGATTGGCTTGGAATGGCTAAGAATGGATGTTCTTTCAAATACAGGTTTCACATACAGTTGTTTAGTTACTATTTATGTAGAAAAAATGAAGAGCCCAATGCCAGGGCAATTGAATAAATATCTTGGAATTATCCCCCATTTCCTAGATTCCTTTATGAGAATAACATTCTCCAGAAAAAGATGCCAAAGAAATTCAATTGTGCTTGTGGCATCATAGAGCATTAATAATTCTAAGGCTTGGGATGCTTAGACAGCCCTTGCATCAGCATCATTTCGATTTTCTAAATACCCCCCAAATTACCTCCAGTTAGTACTTACCTTCCCTTAGATTCCTTTTTGCTTTTCACCAGTCCTAGGAGAGGAATGTCTTAAATTGTGAGGTTCATCATATTTAGGGCCCTACCAAATTCACAGCCATGAAAAAGGTGTCACGGACCATGAAATCTGGTCTCTCCCGTGAAATCTAGTCTTTTGTGTACTTTTACCCTATACTATACAGATTTCATGGGGGAGACCCCAGCTTTTCTCAAACTGGGGGTCCCAACCCAAAAGGGAGGTGCAGGGGGGTCGCAAGGTTATTGTAGGGGGGGATCGTGGCATTGCCACCTTTACTTCTACGCTGCCTTCAGAGCTGGGTGGCCAGAGAGCAGCAGCTGCAGGCCAGGTGCCCAGGTCTGAAGGCAGTGCCCCGTCAGCAGCAGCGCCGAAGGAAGGGTGGCAATACCATACCAGGCCACCCTTACTTTTGCGCTGCTGCCTTCGGAGCTGGGCGTTTGAAGAGCGGCAGCTGCTGACTGAGGGCCCAGAAGTAATGGTGGCAATACCATCCCATCCCATCCTTACTTCTGAGCTCCTGCTGGCGGCAGTTCTGCTCTCAGCAGCCGCCGCTCTGTGGCAGCCGAGCTCTGAAGGCAGCGCTGCTGCCAGCAGTAGCACAGAAGTAAGGGTGGCAATACCGTGAGCCCCCTACAATAATCTTGTGACCCCCCCCAACAACCCTCTTTTGGGTCAGGACCCCTACAGTTACAACATTGTGAAATTTCAGATTTAAATAGCTGAAATCATGAAATTTATAATTTTTAAAATCCTATCATCGTGAAATTGACCAAAATGGACCGTGAATTTGGTAGGGCCCTAATCATATTACACAGGTACATTAGGCTTCTTCTCATGTCTCAGCAAAATGCTATCAGTAGTTAGTAGGTGTAGACAAATTATTTATGTTCAGAAATGCCTGAGATCATGCAGTAGGCATGCAATGGATTTAGGCTTGGCAGAACTCGATTTTCCTTTTTTTTTTATAATTTCAATGGATAATATTGATTATTTTTAAGCATTTTAATTTTTTTTATCTATTTAAATTTTCAAAGTTGCACGAAATTATGGGCTTTAAGCATTTTTTTCCAATTTTTATCAATTTACTTTTTCATAGTTGAGGGAAATTAAGGAGGGAATTAGACAATAATTATTCAGTGACAGACTTTGAGATTTAAAAAGTTAAACACAAATTGTCAAAATCACATGTCAAAATATGCAAAGCAAATATTCTTAAATCAAACTGTAATAAGTTCTCAAGCAGCATTTTTCTTACTTTGCCTATCTGTAATTTCAATTATTATCAATGGAAATATTTTTGGATGGTTTGGTGTTTATGGTGATATTGACACCTACCGACATTTACCAATAAAATCTAATTCTTCCAAGCCTAAATATATTGAAGGGAAAGCACACTGCATACAAATCCTTTCACCAGAATTCACCCTTATTTCTTTACTGTTTTGGATTTAGTGGGAGAACCAATTAACCATGAAGCTTGGCAATGGTTCTACAATGTAGTGGGAGACAGCCGGTGCACCCTTGTTGACACCTGGTGGCAAACAGGTAAAAAGCACTGATCGGGAGGAAAAACATGTTCACGAGGAATTATCATGGAATGGTTAGAAAGTGGTGACAACTTTGCCACCTTTCGGAGATTTTTTTCCTGAACACATTTTGTTAACATTTTGAGTTTTCAGCAAATTTTGATCTGCTCTTTAAACTGGCTGAAACCCAGCAATGTTTTTTCATGAAACATTTTCATTGAAATTTTGAACATTTGAAAGTTTTGACCAGCTCTAGAAGCAGAAAACAATTTTCATTGTTCAGTTGAAAGTGAAAGGCTGTTGTCTGAAATGGAAACCACACAGTAGTTATTTTGAGAATTGAACTGAAACTGAACTTTTTTTATCATGAAAAACAACTTAAGGTACAGCAAACTATAAGATTGAATCACAGATTGTGCCTAGGTATTTGTTTGTCCTTTTTCCCTATGGAAAATAGAACTGTGTAGCCAAGGGTATTTGTTTCGCTACTAGAGTTCATAGGAGAAGACAGTTAAAAGTGCTTTGTTTTGTTTCAGGAGGGACGTGGGGAGAAGTTGTTATGCTGTTTTGCAGTTTGCTGTCTGCAGCCCTCCCCGTGTGAATGAAGTAGCTTTATTTGACAGTAAAGAAGGGTGGCCATGTTGCGACTTAATGGGGCTTTTGCACTGAGCCATCTCGCAGAAAGCAGGAGTGCACGTCTGTAATTCGTCAGTGTGCTTAGGCTGGTTCTTGTGCGTCCCATCTTAATGAAGTGAGGCTTGTCTCTCAGTTACACTAAGGCAGGGGTGGGCAAACTTTTTGGCCTGAGGGCCACATCGGGGTTCCAAAACAGTACAGAGGGCCGGGTAGGGAAGGCTGTGCCTCCCCAAACAGCCTGGCCCCCGCCCCCTATCCGCCACTTCCCGCCCTCAGAACCCCCAACCTATCCAACCCCCCCTGCTCCTTGTCCCCTGACCGCTCCCTCCCGGGACCCCCACCCCTAACCACCCCCCTGGTATCCCACCCCCTATCCAACCCCCCCTGCTCCCTGTCCCCTGACTGCCCTGCCCCCTATCCACACCCCCGCCCCCTGACATGCCCCCCCTAGGACTCCCACGCCTATCCAACCCCCCCTGCTCCTGGTCCCCTGACCGACCCCTCCCAGGACCCCCCGCCCCCATCCGCCCACCCGGGACCCCACCCCCTATCCAACCACCCCTCTAAAGCCCCTTTCGGAATGTGGCCCTGCGAAGATGGGCGGAGGACTCAGGAGGAGCAGGGGCAGCCCTGCAGCCGGAGAGAAGCAGCAGTTTCCCCTTCAAAGCGCCGCTTCTCTCCAGCCAGCTATGCCGCCACCCGGTGTCCTCCTGAGACCTCCGGCTACGTTCCCCGCGCTCCCACCACCCACACCACCCACTTGCTCCCCTGAGGCTGCAGGTGAGTCTCCCTCCCTGCCCCCACAGTGCAGCCCCCCCCATGGGGGGTCGCCGGTGCTGAGCTGCCTGAGTGCCGGTCCCTGGGGCCCCCTGTTGTTGGGGGGCCCCGTGCCAGTGCACCCTGTGTTCACTGGTAAATCCGCCCCTGAGCCGCACTGCCCGGCTGGAGCCAGCCACGCCGCAGCGCTGCCCAGAGCGCTGGCGGCATGGCAAGTTGAGGCTGCGGGGGAGGGGGGCTAGCTTCCCTGGCCGGGAGCTCAAGGGCTGGGCAGGACGGGCCCGTGGGCTGGATGTGGCTTGCAGGCCGTAGGTTGCCCACCTCTGCACTAAGGCCATTTTGCAATGCTCTAGTAATGGAAAGGTGCCTTAACTTGGATGTAAATATAATCTGCTCCTTAGGTGTCTTTACATGACGAGAGTGGTTGAGGGTGGGTTTAGTGTGAGTGACAGTCAGGCCCATATTGTTAATCTGTTGCCTGGATTGGCTATGTCTAGTCCCAGAGGGTATATCTAAACTTGTGGCTGGCCCATGCCAGCTGACTCAGCCTGAACCCCGCGAGCCAAAGGGGCTTTTTAGTTGAGGTGTAGATGTTTGCATCTGGGATGGAGCCCAGGCTCTGGGACTCTCCCCCTTGCGGTGTCCAGCCCGAGCCCAAACATCTATACCCCAATTAAGCAGCCCTGCAAGCCCAAGTCCCGTGAGCCTGAGTCAGCTGACATGGGCCAGCCGCAGGCATTTAATTGCAATATAGACATACCCTGAGGTCACTAAAGAAAAACACAGTAATCTTGACTGTTCTTACTGAAGGACTTCACTGAAGTAAATCCTCCTCTAGACCCTTCCCTGCTCCTACCCCAACAACCGGCTCCTGTTCTTCCCCGTCATGTGATGGTGGGAAAGAATCACTTTCTTCTCTCACTGAACAAAGAACTCCGTTACAGTGAGGAAGCCAGCGTTCGTTCTGGCTCCCTTTCTGTGCTTCACAAAGATTTACAGCTTCAGCCTTGAACCTTCCCCAGCTCCCCTCCTGCCTGACTGTTTGCTACAGACTTAAAGAAATAGTCCACATATCCTCACACGGCCCTCTCCCTCTCCTCTGCCAAAGGAGACCCCTCCCACTTCCCTAGCCTCCCATCCACTGCCGATGCAGCAGGTGAATTGATGACCATAGTGTCAGCTACATTTCACCTTTCGCAATCAATGTAATTTACATTATTAATTCGCCTTTGTCCTCTATGGAACATTGTCTTTGGAAGCAGCGGTATGTCACCAGAGAATAAAACTGAACGGGCATAAAAATTAGCAAACCATACTTTAAGAATCCATTTGAAAGTATTTGGGTGAGTGAGAATTTGTGTGTGTGTGTGTGTGAGAGAGAGAGAGAGAGAGAGAAATTAAGGTAGCTCTTAGGCCACGTCTACATTAGTGGCACAGCTGTACCGATGCCGCTGTAAGATCTCTTGTGTAGCTGCTCTATGCTGACAGGAGAGAGCTCTCCCGTCGACATACCTAAACCAGCCCCTGTGAGTGATGGTAGCTGCGTCGGCAGGAGAAACTCTCCCACCAACATAGCGCAGTGCACATGACAACTTATGCTGGCAAAACTTATGTCGCTTGGGGCGGGGGGGTGATTTTCACAGCACTGAGAGACTTAAGTCGTAGTGGAGGCATGGCCTTAGTGTTAATATTAGGCAGTGGTGTCTGTGCTGTGAGTGATAATATGATTCAAAGCTGGTGTGATTTTCGGTCTAGTTTTAAATGATGTAGAATAGAGACTAGACTGTTTAGCTTTTGAATTAGAGTGACACCAAAGGTAAACTGTTGTAAATGATTCTAGAGGCACTAAATTGTTTTATAGAATAAATAAGGGCTGTTCTTAGAAACACGTCTCTTAATAGGGCATTTCAGTGCTTAGATTCTTCTTTCTCAGTCACACAAAGGGTATATGGCTTCTGCTAATGGACTTGCTCCTGCTCCCATTAAAAAAACCCAACAAAACTCTCATCAACTTCAGTTGGAATAAGATTATGAATGTTTGCCAGGTAGCTAGACATATTCACATTGAATCATGTGTTAACTTTTCTGGGTCACTACTTTTTGTTAACTCTTTTCTACTAATTTGTAAGTAAAGTTTGACCCAAGAATGGATTGTGAGTTGCTCCACAAATTACTAGATTTATTGAATGGAAAGACAGAAGCAGAAAGTAGATAAAGAGCACACTTTGTTTCTAAGACCAAGAACATCTGTGTTGGTCTCCAAAGTACTGAATTTACTGGGCAGTACAGAATAGAACAGCTGTGGCTTTGACTTCATTGCAGTGCTACAAACTCTGTCGGAGGAGTGTAGGAGCACTCAAAATGGGTGTGGGAGGAGAGAAGGTTTTGGTGACTGTCAACAGGAAATATTTAAGGAAATAGGTGAAACAAGAAGCATGCATGTGTGATATTTAAGCAAAAGCCTGTTTGTGCTTAACACATTGCAGAGGTATTCAAAGACTTGAGTGACAATTGCTGAGAGATTCTATCAAGGTCATTGTCAGCTTGGACTATGTGACAAGCAAATGCAAGGTGTGCACATTCAAAGTCCCCACACACCAGGGTACCTGACTTTCTCAGCTTTGGATAGATTTAGTTTGTGCAATGTGCCGCTTTGGAGTGGATTCTTCCTCTTTCTGGAGTTCTTTGCCTTCTCTTAATTAAAGACCAAATTAGTTAAACTGCTGTAAAACCCCTGCATTGACACACTGACATTGATTTAAATCTGGCTTGTGTCAACTTAGCTGACTCTTTACCACGATAAGCTAAATTGCTGAGTTTAATAGTGTCCACACAGAAATGTGCACTGGTTTAACTAGATCAGTGGAAAAAGCATCCCTTTAATTACATCAGTGCAAGTTGGAGCGTTGGCTCTGCCTAAGGTACTGCCCACTGTGAATAAGGGTGGAAAGTTGTATTTTCCTCCCACTCTTTGCATTGTCTTGCCTTTGTTTTATCTTTTTACTTTCTTCAGGGATTTTGCCCCATTCAGCCCACTACCACCGTGCATCTCCCCCTTGGATCTGCACTGCTCTACTGGCTGTTATGTAGTCAGTCATTGTGCTGTGTAGCAGATGGCATGGCCTGTATTTTAAATGTTGTTTTACAGTACTGTGATTTTAATTAATGTTCACTTGTAAAGAACATCCACTACAACGGAGCTAAACAGACATATTGTACATGCAGCATGAGCTTCGTACTCTGTCACCTTCATTACCGTGAAATATTCGATGCAGTTCTTCCTGGATTCTATCGGTGCTTGTAGAGGATGGTGTATGCTTTCTGAAATAGGAAAGTGCTGGCAAGCCTTAAGACAATCATGGCACATTGCACAGAAGTTTCTGATGTGTACACTGTCCCTGAAGGAAGAGACTTCCCAAATCATTTTCCATTTGATATATAAGCCAGCTCTGAGGCCTGTTTTCAGTGGAGTGATACTTCAGCTCTATGGTTCCACCTAGAGATACCTTCTTCTCCTCCTAGTTATAGAGAAGAGACTAGAGGCAAAATCATAGGTTCTGTCTATGTAGTCACTGAAGCCAGTGGAGCAATGCGGATTTACACCAGTCAAGAACATAGCTCGTATATTTTTAAAGCCTAACATTCCTGTCCGTTTGCTTCTGTTTTGTGCATCTGAATTAGTGTCAGGATATAACAGATCTGATTAAGGTTGAAATCTCTGATCTGATTTAACATTCATCCCAGCAGAAATGAGGAAAGAATGATTAAGAGGCTCAGTTCAGAATGGAAAATAATCTCAGGATGCCCCTAATGGGTGGGCTATTCTAATACTATGTAATAATAGTAATTTAGTCTCACAAAGCGCTTTGCATACAAATTCCTCAAAGTGCTGTAAAAACAGCACAAGGAAATAAATCCCCTAATATTTTGTGCTTATATCCCCACTGCTACAATCCCTTGTGGGATAGGAAATGGGGCTGAACAGCATTTTCCAGGTAGCATCATGGATAAGAAAGGAATCTGAAAATGTGTAAGTGCCACATTAGTGCTCACTACATTCAGCTCTTGTTGATTTCCATGGAATTAATTTAGTCCCTGCATAACTCTAGGAGTGTGTGTGTTAATTTAGGATCACACTCTAGGAAGAGAGTGCATAGGCTGAATCAATGGGCTGCTCCTTCTTAGAAGTGTATTCGCTAGGTGCAAGACTAAGGCATGCAGTCCTTACCCCCATTTGTAATGCTGGTGTGCATCCAGACCGCAGCTGCTACTACAAAGTATATGGGCCACTGCTTCCTTTCCTGCATGGTGCTTTGGCCACGCTCCTCTGCTCCTGCAGCTTTAAAGTCAATGGGAGCTTTGCCATTGGTGTCAGCGAGCACAGGACCAAGCCCTGGGAGTCAGTTACCCCGATGCAGTGCACTGTGATGCTGCCCTGCGCCTGAGGCCAGCTGCTTACCTGGGCCGCATTATCTCTGACTGTCGTCTCGTTATAAAGATGGACGTCTGGTTTTGTGTGGCTTATGAGGGCCAAGACATCCAGATGTTTTGCACTGATATGTCAGCCAACCTTCAGTTCATGGTTTTGGGCACCCTGGTGTTCAAAAGACATAGATGTGAAGCGAGTTCAGAGGAGAGCAAACTTAGTGGTGAAGTGTTTAGAAAATAATGTTCAGAAAGAAAGTCAAAGAGAAAAGAGGAGGAAAGGAATGCATATATTAATTATTCTTCCAGTCTTGTTGTTATGGCATCACCTAGAGACCAGAACCCCACTCTACTAGGCTCTACACAACCAGAACAGAAAGGTGGTCGCTGTCCAAAAAAGCTTACAATCGAAGTTTGTTGAGCTACAAACAGGTGGATGGCAGATGGGGTGAGCACAAGGTAACAGTGATACAGGTATGAACAGTGTGACAAGCAGTAGTCACAGCTCACCAGTGGCTAACCATTGCCAAGTGTTTTGTAGGCATCATGGCACAGGTGGGTTTAAAGGAGAGGTTTAAAGGAGAATATGATAATGTAGCAGCTGTTGTTTGGATTCTCAAAATCATTTCTGAGCTCAGATCTTTCCCGACTTCGTACACTGCACAATCCAGCAGATGGAGAGGAAATGTATTGTGTATACCAGGGGTAGGCAACCTATGGCATGCGTGCCGAAGGTGGCACGCGAGCTGATTTTCAGTGGCACTCACACTGCCTGGGTCCTGGCCACCGGTCCGGGGGGCTCTGCATTTTAATTTAATTTTAAATGAAGCTTCTTAAACATTTTGAAAACCTTATTTACTTTACATACAACAACAGTTTAGTTATATGTTGTAGACTTATAGAAAGAGACCTTCTAAAAACGTTAAAATGTATTACTGGCACGTGAAACCTTAAATTAGAGTGAATAAATGAAGACTCGGCACACCACTTCTGAAAGGTTGCCGACCCCTGGTGTATACTGTAGGTAGCGTTTGGCAAAGCAGTATCTCTGCCTCAAAGTGCTATAGAGGCAAGGTGGGTGAGGTAACATCTTTTATTGGACCAACTTCGGTTGGCGAGAGAGGCAAGCTTTCAAGCTACACAGAGCTCTTCTTCAGGTCAGCTCGGTGTCAGCTTGTCTCTCTCACCGACAAAAGTTGGTCCAATAAAAGGTATTACCTCCCCTGCCTTGTCTCTCTAATATCCTGGGACCATCACATTCACTACAACAATCCAAGTGTTATTAGTTGGGAGGGTGTCTGTAATTTGCTGGTCTTGTGTAGCTGAGAAAAGTAGGTGCTTGCTTTTATCCAGCCTAACCTGCCATTCCAATGTGTCCCAGCCTCTTTAACTTTCCCATTGTTCTTCCAGAAACAGGCGGCATCTGCATTGCTCCCCGGCCCTCGGAGGAAGGAGCTGACATCATTCCTGCTATGGCAATGAGACCGTTCTTTGGGATTATACCGGCACTGATGGATGAGAACGTGAGTTGGGACTGTGCTCTGCCACTGGGGGCAATGGTGCACAGGCAGGAAAAGAGCTGCTGGAGATACTGCCCTGGGGTTGTCCAGCTAATTCCCCTATTTCATGCCAAAAGCATTTAGGAAAATGTTTTGTGCCTCATCTGTTCCAATGATACAGTAGGGAATCAAGCCATATTCATGCATATTTAAATATTCTAGTTAGAAAGCCAATGGCGAGTAGCAAGGTAATGTTTTTGGACTGGCTTCTATGATAGTGATAGTGGTGATTGTGTAATGTAAGGGCTTGTCTATACTTACGCGCTGGTTCAGCGGCAGGCAATCGAACTTCTGGGTTCGATTTATCGCGTCTTGTCTGGACGCGATAAATCGAACCCAGAAGTGCTCGCCGTTGACTCCGGTAATCCTGCTCGGCGCGAGGAGTACGCGGAGTCGACGGGGGAGCCTGCCTGCCGCGTCTGGACCGCAGTAAGTTCGAACTAAGGTACGTCGACTTCAGCTACGTTATTCACGTAGCTGAAGTTGCGTACCTTAGTTCGAATTGGGGGGGTTAGTGTAGACCAGGCCTAAGTGCCAGCGCTGCAGACACTCATACAGGTGTGTAACTTTACTCATGCATAGTCTCGCTGGAGCCAACGGGACTGGCGTGAGTGAAGTGCACTGGGAACACAGCCAACTTACAGCTTTGTAGGGAATTGTTCTCCTTAACAATGTTTGCTGAATGTGCATTGTAGCCAATGAAACCCCCCTGTGATCTCCATATAACCAGTGCCTTACGCAGTCTCCACTAGAGTCAGGCTCGGCGTGTCTGTCTGTGGTCATTCATTGATGCAGCTGAGAAATATCTATTCTGAAAGTTGGGTACATGACCTTAGACAAAATGTTTCCATTGTTAGCGGCCCCTTTTCCCACAGGGAGAATATTTTCATTGCCCAGTGCTGAGGCAGTGTTGTCTAATACCTTGGGCACAGGGTGAAGACCCAAAACGTATGAGCTCCAGGCCAGTCTGTATTGTTGATTTGGGGCCTGATCTGTGTGGGCAGTGCCCCATAGGCTGCAGTGGATTTTGGCATGGGCTGAGGGGCCCACCCACACAGGCCTGATTGAAAACTTGGGGCCTTGCTGTGTAGCCTTAGGCAAGTTGCTTAGGACCGGGTTTTCAAAGGTATTTTGATGCCTAATGGGATTTTCCAAAGCA